CACGTTTGTTGAGGAAAGAGTAGCTAGATATCTGCATTAAGGTTGGTGATGCGGAACTTAAAAAAAGAAATGACAGAAAACATTCTGTCTTCAACAACATTTACAGTTTGTAATACACTCGATAGCCATTTTTATTCTCAACAAACACACACAAAAACACCATTTAATTAACTGACCAGGTGTTATTAGATTATAGATTAGGGACAAGTTTGGTGAAATGGCATGACTGCCCAAAGGCCACCCGGCTGGTCAATAGTAGAACTGAGACTTGGACCCGAATCTCAGGATCCAAATCTATTTTCCCTATTTTTCTCTCTCAACTTGCTTGGAAGTGGAGGACTGTTACAGTTTCTTTTTTAAAAATTGTTTTCAAGTGGCCTCTTGTTGATATCTATACATTTTATAATTTTAGACTTCAAAAATCTTATTCATGTTTAGAGAAGATTCAGCTAAAAAAAAGAACCCATTTATTCTCTCTTAATTATATATTTAAGCTGCAGCTAGAGGAATTTCAAATAGGTGGCTATGGGACAAAGTTATGAACAGGTCTTAAGTTGTGGCATCTCTCTTTTTGAGATTATTTCCCTCACCTTGCCTCCCCTTTTAAGCAATTGGATAAATTCTCGTCTTGGTAGGATGGTTTAACTATGACAAGGAATGGACTCTGTCCTTTCAGAATCCCTTTGCTCTTATGATTTAATGGCATCTGGAGAATCTGGGCTTTCCATATCAACTGAATAAGTGGATTAGTTGCATCAAAGAACAAAGTAATAATAAATGTTGGTGAGCTCTGTATCAAGCAATTTGACATTTTGGCCTGACAGAGGTCTCATTTGCTCAATGTTCACTTGAAATTTCAACCACGGTGGTTCTGTTTTTCAGTCTTTGAGGTTGGCTGGACATCACAAAAGTTCTGAATAAAATAATCACCCACTCCCATAAGCTGGACAATCACCTGGAGTTCCGCTGTAGAAAAGCAAAACAGAACCCTGAATGTTCGCTGCGTGCGACACCACAGAGCAGAAGTCATCAATTCAAATGATCCAGAAATGTATGGCAGGTCGAGCCCACCACATGTTGAGAAGGACTTGGGCTTGTCATTTTAGAGCCTACGCTTTCAAATTCTGAAATAGCCCATAGCCTTTAGAAAAATAATATTCTCACCTTAAGACAAAAATATAGATGAGAGGCAATTAATTGTTAGCAATTAAAAAAATTTCGGGAAAAAACAAGAGAAATGCTAAAGGTAAAGACAATGGAATAATTTCTAAACAAAGAACGAAGGCAAAGGCATAATTTTCACATACATAGAATGACAAAAAGGGCAGAGAATAAAATTTAACCACCCCAGCTCTAACACACGCAGAGGCACAGATACTTCAGTGCGCTAGAGCAGCCCAAGGCATGCCTTCGTGTTCATGTAAACGAAATATAAGAAGCCCTTCTTTACCTCTCCTCTCAAGAAGCATACAGCTTTTCTGGCGTGAATAGTTACCTTATTAGGTCAACCAGAAAAAGCACATTCATGAAATTGAACTGTACTGACAACTGTGGGCAGGCATTTCTCCTGGTCTTTAATTAACCCCTGTAGTGAATATCATACACTAACCAACCTATATCCAGATTTGATTGATATCTGCATATAAGCTTTATGACATCCCTCCTCGTTATATTTTGCAGATTAAAAAAGTCTTATATAGCAATGACTTTATTAAAAATTCATGCTGTACAAGGATTTCATGTATATATTCTCATACATACACCTATACATAAAAGCACTACAGCTCTGTGCAAATATTGATACTCCTATACAAAAACCTTTGACATGTAATAGTAGTTTGTTTTCTAGAGGAGTTAGGAGTTGAAGATCTATGCTATTTTTAAAAAGGTTTGTTAGAGACTCTGAATCATCATGCAAAAAGTGGGAACATTAAGGAAGAAGTTATTCCTATTTGTTCATCAAAATATATTGAGCAACTATCTCCTATGCTCAGGTGGCACACACTATGCAAAGGTGCTGAGATGACATACCAGGTGAGAAATCCTCTTGAACTGGATGGCAGTAAAGATGTATAAGTGATCACAGAAGTGGGTACAGGGCTCGGAAGGGCCTACTCCCCAGAGAAGGAAGGCAGTAGAAGGGCTGGCTAATGAGGGTGTACAGGCCAGGTCAGGATGTTGCAGAAGACATGTGTATGTGCAAGTATGAGGCGGGGTTCTTAGCTTTACACTGTATTCTCTTAAATCTAGTTCTAACATTGGCAACATCATTGGGTACCAGGACTAGAGAGCACCGCACAAACTGGCATTGTCTCCTGCCAAGGTCAGAACTCTTAAGAAACAAAATGAACCCAGCTTCTGAGAGTATATTAAAATCAGAATTATCTTCACCTCTCCTATGCTCACCATGATCCTTTTTTTTGAGTGATTCATTTTAAGACTGGAAAGTAAAACAGCCATTACAAAAACTAAAATAAAATCTCTCCCTAACTTTCCAAGCTTCAAAGAACACACACACACACACACACACACACACACACACACACACACACACACACACTCATTCATTCATTCTAGGGAGCAACACTTTAGAGTAATTAATAGACTTTTTAATTATAGAAAGTTATCAGTGTATATGGCTTCTTTAAATGACATTCGAATATAACAACTCTATGTAATTACCAACCTACATTAATGCAGTTCTCATGGGGTGCCACACACACACACAAAAAACCTGCACAATCATCAACAGGGAGCCCGGAGGACAGAGGGTGTAGGAACACAGCCCAGGCAGAAATACACAGTGGAACTTAATCACTGTAATTTAGATTTTGTCACCAAGTCCCAGGTATAAGCTCTTGTATGCACTGTCAAGAGATCGCCACATTAATTGCTGTTCCTGTCTTCTGAGGACACAAACACTCTAATTTGCAGTGATTTTAGTTTCTAGCAATGCGCACTTGGTGGCTAAGTCTCCCTTTCCTCTAGAATAGGAAGGTTGCTAAAGCTCTGATTATCCAGCTCACTCTGCCAAGATCAAAAGACTGAAGTCACAAAGCATCCCCATTTACCGGAGTCAAGAAACAAATGTGACTCAACTTACCAGTGGGTGGGAAGCCCTGCCACTCTCCCTGAAAGGCCACATTCTTCTCTTCTCTAGTAAGTTTGACTTTCAACAGAAGAGTTATTTCTACATGATGATTTAAATAATTTCTGCATGGTCAGTTTGAAGCAGAAAATTTGGATGATCCTTTGAGGTCTTCAGGCAGCTCATCAGCACATTCTGATAGTGCAATCCCAGGTGCCTACTTTTCAGTGGGGACTTTGTAGATCCCCCGGGATTTGTCAGATCTGTTAGATGGCATGGCTGATGTTTCGTGCTTTGGCTTCAGAGGACCAGCTCTTTTCGACCTTACTCCATGGTGATGCCATTCTAGACAAGACCTCTATAACTATAACTGACTTTCTTCTACCATCAAATTAGGCCAGAGAAATATCCCCAGATAAAAACATCATTCTTAAAACAAAGAACGGAAAACCAAAGAAACAAGAGAAACCACAGAGAAACTACTTTGAATTCCAAAATGTTCTAAGTCAATGCATGGGCTATAGTTAATAGAACAATGGGGTGTGCCTAAAACAGCAAGTGTCATGATTAAGTGTCATGTGATTCTATATTTGTATTATATTATTATGATATTTGATGCCCAGTTTTCTGTTTTACTTTTCCAACCACTCCCTTAGCCCACCTGATCACAAACGTTCTATTTCCAGAATTGTAGAAAGGTCCCTGGATGCCCAGTACTCAAAAATACTGAGTCTACTTTGTCAATTTCCTTTTCGCTTGGGGGCATGTAGTTTCCGGACCTATCGCAATAATTTCTTTTACTGCAACGGGAGTGGTAAATCAAGGCATAAAATGCTTCATTTCATAGGGCCAACCTGTTCTTTTAAAAGATGAGGAGCTCAAGAATCTTATCAGTAACAATACAGAGGCAATGAGAGAACTGAATATTTAACTGGTCAAGTTAAACCAATCCAAATTAAATGGAGGATGTCCTCTATCACGAAGGTTATCTGGGGTTTACTGACAGGTTTTGTGCCCAGCTTCCCATTAGAAAAGTAAAACTAAATTCAGCTTCTCTGTTATTTTTCTTTGGGGCATAATAATAAAATAGGCTCAGAGGACAGCAAGGTTAGATGCCATCATACAAGCTGATCAATGATTGACAACAAAAAGTAAAAGGAGAAACTACCACAGAGAACAACAGGCCCCAAAAGACAGTGATGGAGTGTTTCCTTCAAAAGGAAGAATCTTGTCATACTTTGGGTTTTAGGTTCAAATCCAAAAAAGGAAATAAAACATAGTATTTATTCTGCCTTTCCAAGGATACAGGAGAATGTGTGCTTTTCTATTTTGAAAGGTAGATGACATGTCTAATTTTAGCTACCCTTTTCTGTTGGACACCCCCCACCCTCCACACATCACCGTCAGGAGCCGATTATTGAAAAAAAAATTACCATGCAAACACTGGGTGATGTTCTCTGATACAGAGGCAGTGTAAAGGATGCATTCAGCATTGTAAATGATGCCATGTTAGCCTGAGCAAACACCCCTTCCTTCTAAAAATATGGTCAAGTCTTCTTATGTCTTCAAAAGACCGTTCCATTCTACTTTCTCTATCACTAGCTGAAAGCCAAAATTACAAAATTCTTCTAATTCTGGTATGCAGTTAGGAAATATTTACGAAATTAAATATAACTTTACAAAGTCTAAAATCTTTGTAAATTTTTCTCATATTTAAAATAATGCATTAGGATTAGAGGAAAAAAGTATTTTGGTGGCAAATAAGAAGCATTACATATATAAAAATAAAATAACTGTCACTGCATGAAAACCCCCTTTCTTATACGCTATTGAGCAAAATACAGTTGGATGAGGCTGGAAACTCAATTTAGGGCTGGGCTGGCGGGGGAGAAGCAGAAGGAAGGGTGGTTACCTTGTGTGGGAAGCAGCATCGTTTATACTGAAAGTGCTGTTCTCCCGTGTCAGAGGGTTGGACCCGGCCTGGCTCTTGCTGTGGATATCCAAGCTCAGGGAAGATTCTGTTTTCCGGTCCATGCCGTGGCTCTCTGTGTCCAAAGTCCGATCGACCATGGAGATCACTTCACTGGAACTATGCCACAGGGGTGCCACTTTCTCCTTGCCTGGCCCCGAGCGAGGAGACGACGTGGCAGCCCCCAGAGAGGCCGTGCTGCCGTGGCTGGGGCCATAGGAGGTGGTGTCAATGCCACTGTCAGCAGAGGTGCCTTGCAGATAGTTGTAGCTGTTGAGTTCGGATTCTGTGCGGTCCCCGTCGTACCACTTCTCGTCACTGTGGGCACTCGATGCGTTGCTGGAGAGGGTATTGCTGCTGGAGTGGCTCGAGTAGTGGCTATCAGACTGCAAGGGAAGCAGGTTGTACTCAGTACAGGTTCTGCTCCTTGAACGTCAGGAAAAACACATGGCAGAATGGCCCTCTGGCTTGTGTCTAGTCATGGGGTTCGTTCTCATGGCACAAAAATCCTGACGATGACAAACCAAAGAAAGATGGGAGGTGCCTGGAAAAACTCATTCAGAAGTGTCCATGGCAGAGAACACTGGAAACTTTTTTATTTTAGAATCCATTTTCATTATTTGACTTATGCTAAAGTATCAATACTATTACAACAATTTTAATCAGAAAAAAATCTAAACTGTCATTAGGCTCTAATACCTTAATCAAAAAATAGAAAGAAAAGACTTCCAAAGGGCTTATAATTAGAAAAGCCCTATTTTGCTCAGAGTAAGTAGAAAGCAGAAGATAAGGCTTATTCCTAAAGAGATCCCCATTTTTGTCCCCAATTAGCATCTATTTAGGAGACAGCTTTCTAAAGAGTGCTTAAAGGTATAATTTATATAGAGGTGCCAAGTCATTTCAATGGGGGTAAAATAGTCTTTTCAACAATCAGTACTGGGACAACTGGATATCCACATGCAAAAAAGAATGAAGTTGGATCCTTACCACGTAGAAAAATAAACTCAAAAAGATCAAAGACCTAAATGTAAGAGCTAAAATTATTAAACTCTTAGAGAAAACATAAGTATACATCTTCACGATTATGGATTATGCAATGGTTTCTTAGGACATCAAAAGCACATACACAAAACGAAAAAAGTAGATAAATTGGACTTCATCGAAATTAAAAAATGGGCAAAGGATTTTAAATGGCCATTTCTCCAAAGAAGATAAACAAATGGTCAACAAGCCCATGAAAAGAGACTCAATATCTTCAGTCACAAAGGAAATGCAAATCAAAACCAAATGAGACAGCATTTCGCACACACGCTAAGATGGCTATAATCAAAAGGACAGATAATGATAGTTAGCATTGTTGGTGGGAATGTAAAATGGGGCAGGCTGCTGTGGGAAAAGTTATAATTCCATTTTCAGTATCTACTCAAGAGAAATGAAAACATATGTTCACATAAAAACTTCCACATTAATGTTTATAGCAGCATTATTCATAATGGCCCCAAAACAGAAACAACGCAAATGTCCATGAACTGATAAATGAATAAAGAAAAGTGGTACATTTATGCAATGGAATATTATTCGGTCATAAAAAAATGAAGTACTAATACATGCTATGACATGGATAAGTGAAAGAAGCCAGACACAAAAGGCCACATGTTATATGATTCCATTCATATGAAAAGTCCCAAATGTACACATTGATAGAAACAGAAAGTAGATTAGTGGTTGCGAAGAGCTTGGAGAGGCAGGAAGAGGCAGGGTGATTGCCTGAGGATAGAGGGTTTTTTTTGAGGGGTGATAAAAATGTTCTAGAGTTAGATCCTAGTGCTGGTTGCACAATTCTGTGAATATAGTAAAACCACAAAATTGTATACTTTAAATGAAGTGAATGTTATAGTATGTGAATCATATCTCAATTAATAAACTATGAACAGAACCTTTTCTATACAGTGGCTTACTTAGGACATTTTACAGTTTGCCAAAGAAATAAGATTTCAAAAGATTTCTGAATAATAATTTAAATTAGATAAAGGCAGAAAGTCCAGACACTTGGTGGAGTTTAAGAGAAAAGAGGAGGAACTCTGTGTGTGTGGGCAGGGGGGTGGGGCGGGGAGCGGGCGGTGAGGGTAGGGGCAAGAGGAGGACACTTAAGTTTCACCTCAAAGTGAAACATAAAGATCTCTTCTCCTTAAACAAGAACCAATTCCAGTTACTTTACTGGTGCTATCTCTAGTTTTTCTCAGCAACTTTCACATTATAAGGTCTTTGCTTATTTTTAATGTTTGTAGGGCAGAACTTCCTTAGCCTGTGCCACAGAACTTGGTAGCCCCCAGCCACATGTGGCTACTGAGCACTTTCAATGCAGCTAATCCGAACTGAGAAGTGCTGAGAGAGTCAAGTACACAACAGATTTCTACAGAAATATTACGGGAACCGCATTTGTCACTTTTAATTTTCTAGTGGCCAAGTTTTAAAAAGTAAAAAGAGACAGGTGAAAATAATTTTAAGAATATATTTTCTCTAATCCAATCTATTCGAAATGTTATTTTACCACGTAATCAATACAAAAATTGTTAATGAAGGAAGGGAAACGACTGGGGCGATCTATCCCTTCCAGGCAGAAGAGTGACGACATCACATTTGCCCGGTAAACCTCTCTCCACGCAGCCTGTGTGTGTGTGTGTGTGTGGGTGGGGCTCACGCATGCATGGGCACGTGTTCTCTCTCGCTGTTTTTAGCTTCTATATTCATTTCATTAGAGCAAAACTTACAAGAGCACTCTCACTGAAAGTTCTCTGAGCATCTTATACATTAGTGAATATAAAATACAAAGTTTCCTCATCCAGTATTTCCTTATCCTATAGAACGATGAAAATATAAATACACATTCCAGTGAATAGACAGACCAAAGAAATCAGCTGCATTTAAAGAGGGAGGAAAGATAACCTCCATTCCTGGTTCTGCCTGTAGGTGATAAGGACTTGTGTATGTCTACGGTGACAGGACAAACATGTGTGTAGCTATGGAAGATAAGAGAAGCAGCAGGGGGAGTTGTCGGGAAGCTGTGCGTCCACCTGACTGATGCTCCAACCACATCTCATGCTTGCAACTGTGTAAGCAAATGAAATCCATTTCTAACACATTTCTATTCCTAATGTTATAGGACTGTTTGTGATTGGATGACACTGCCTTCTATCCAGATCAGTGGAGGTGGCAGGTGTGTATCAAAGAGGAATTTCCATTTATTTCAAAGCAACCTTAGGGCCCTTGGCAGCAGAAATTCCAGGGCCATGCCAGCAAATACCAGTGCCTCCTGCCTCCTGCCAGGATGACTTCCACCACGTGGAAGAGAGAGCAGAGCAGATCTGCACATTGTAAGGAAGGTACATTGCTAGGAATCTATCATTTTTATTATTTTACGGTTAACTTACATGCCCTTGTTTGTTCGGAGACAAATGAACCACTGGATCCTGCCGCATTAACCTCCCACTGGGGCTCTCTCGGAAAGCTGGCAGCACCTTTGATACTGCTGGGAGATGACACGTTGGCTCTGGAATACAGCACAGGACATTATGGCGCAGGCACTAAACAGATCCAAGCACATGTTGACAAATGAAAACAGCTTGCCACTGCATCTCTTAGTTCACTGACCAGCAAACTCTGAATTTCAGCAATAAGCTCGTTGAGAGTTTGCGAAATAGACAGCATGTCAGAAACTAAGTAGCTGATGGGTAAAGCTTGCAGCTGGTGACCATGTGTCATGTCATACACATTAGCATAAGCAAGTACCACCAAACCAAAGGCCATGAACAAGGAAGGCAACGAAGTTAGGAATTAACTTTTGGTTTGGGAGGAAAGACTAGAAGATATGGATTAAACTTATGAAATTCATTTATTGCAAAGTGTGGCTAACCTCGCTTGGTCTACATTACCTAGACAGGCATGGATGCAATCACATGTTACTTACCATGACACTTTGGAAATATTTTACCTGTATATTCATGCTGCCCGAGGAAAAAAGAATTGAAATCCTGAGGTCCTCTATAACTGTAAGCTAAGCACAACAGAAAAGACACATAGCAACTAGTTTACTTAAGCAATTGCTTCCTTTTGGACTCCAAGCTGGTGTTCATGACAGGGTTCCAAAGGTGAAAGGTGAGCGATTTTGCTTCTCTAACACTCCTAGAACTAACAGCAACAATTCTGGACTTCTGCAACACTATTCCTAACACGTAAAGGATGGGGCAACATACTCTCAACCATTTCCAAAAGCAGAGAGGCAGAAAAAAGGAACATCCACCGAGATGTGTGAGCCAACTAAGCAAGCTAGACTCCTCACCTTCACTGGGGAACCAGCTGCTAACACACTGATGTACCAAACACAGGTCCTGGTAACAAATAAGAATCTCCACAACATTTTCAATAAGTGACCTGAACATCATTAGAGAATTTTGTTCTTACAAATTGGGTATATAAAGATCAGACTTTTACACACTAAATATAGTGCACTGAGTTATGAGAATATACAATTTTTCTTTTCAATTTCTCCCTAGCATGGTTTACACCAACGAGGTGCCAGATTCCTTCTGATGTGCCAATTAGAAAAGGCTGAATTAGTCTTCTAGGATGCTGGAATGTAAAAAATTAATAATATTAATAATATTCTACTATTTGAAGAATTTTAGATAAAGAAAGGCCACTGGTTGGTTAAAAAAAAAAAAAGGCTTCTCTGGCAGGCTCTAGGGGTATCTTACTAAAAGAATGAATGAATGCGTTGAAAGGATTTATCAATATTAATTTCGGAGTCTTATCTATTAAAAGTGGGATGCCACTAAACTAAAGGGGATACAAGAAAAAAGACTAGAGAGAGGTTTATGCGAAAGAATAAATATGAGTCTAGGAGGCACCTTATAATTACCCTTTCTAGTCCCAAATACCTTTTCATTCCCCATATGACTTCACATGAGTAGGAAGTGTGATACTGAACTCTGCACAAAGGGCTTGCTGGCAGCTTTGTTCAAAGCCTGCACTAGAAGCCAAAAAAAGCTGCTGAAGTTATGCTGAAGAAGGGATCCTTTGCACATGTGTGGTTACCATCTCAACAGTATCAAAACATATGGGATTAAAAACATTCTGTCAAGAGCAGAACAGCAGATCAGAATATACTCAGGTTTTCTGTGTTAGGGTGGGTGGGATGAGAGTGGGGAATGACAGATGGCTTCAATAACAAGGCACATCTCACTGAAGTTACTGGAACAAAGCCTATCTTCAGAACCTAGGAATTACATTTCTCTTTCTCACCTGCTGTCTTAGCTTAATACATCTCCATTCTCTTCTATGTTCACGGTTAGTACATTTACATGGCAGAGTCATTAAAAGAGAAGCCAAACGCATTTGCAGAGAAGATAAAAAGATGGGCCTTTGTCTTAAAAAGTTTATCTTTTTCAGACCGGAAATTTACTTCTTTTTTTCCCACAAGGATGTGTAATGCTACCAAAGATAAGATAAAGGAAAAAACGCCTAACAGTCTAGATTCAAAACCCTGATGTATCAAATGTGTTGATACTAAATCCCTGATGCTACCATGTTGAAACTTAATCTTGTTTCACGGCAAAACTTTAAGGTATCGACCTATAGTGTCACTGTAGAAAACTGCATATATAGAAAGAAAGGGCTATGTGCCAGAAATCCAAATGAAGGCTCTCTAATGCAAATCTGCCCCATCCAGCTGTTTTATCTTGTTAAGGCATGTCCTTAGCTGACAGCTTAATAGCAGAGTAGGGGCGAGAAAAGCATATAAGGAAGGAAAGAGATCCTAACCAAGCTACATGTGTGACTAAACAATAATTGTATCTCTTTCCCACTTTGTACATCTTTTTTTTTTTTTTTTAAACTAGACAATAAATACCAATAAATTTCAAAGGGCACTTAGAAGAGGCAAAAATGAACAGATAAACAAGATGGCAGGAGATACTTAGGACACATACTTTGTAGTCTGGCATCTTAATCTCGGTCCTGAAAATAATTCCTATGTCCTAATTTTAAATTTAGGGTCACTTAGGATTCCTTGACTTTTCTCTCGGGTCTTAGTTGTTGCTTTCACCGATATAAAATCTAACCGAGACTTAATTCTCATTCACATTTATTAACCAAGCTGTATTATATAACAGAATGCTTTGATAACATCATCAAGAGGTGGACAAAGTCACCTTGGTGTAAAAACAACTTGCTTCTTGTAGAAATTTAGTTACTTACCCATCTGGTCGGCAATGCTATCCTCACTTCTTTGCCAGCTGGGTGTGGATTTTCCGCTGCCAACAATATCGGACTGGGTGTTTTGCCTGTCCATGGAGGCTGGGGATCTGCGGCTTACTCCGAACCTGTGGTGATTTCCCCAAACAAGGGCAAAGACGCCATCAGAAACCTCGCCCAGAGGGGAAGCCAGTCCTGGGTGTAGTGAACTAAACTCTAATGACAGGTACTACTAGTTTCGCTTACGTGTCTGTACCTGTGTACTCATCCTTGTGAATGTGGACCGGGTGCTTGAACTGTGTGTCTTACGATCAAAATACTCTGTTCAGAAAGGTATGTAGGCTAAGTATGTAAACAGGAAACAAGGCCAGGAAACATTAGGACCGAGCTAACCTAAGATATAGAGTAAGAAACCAGAATCTTCTAGTCCGTGTGTATCCGAGCTCAGACTGTCTCTCACAGCCAAAGGAAACATTTCATTGTCTTAATGTTCCATGTGTATCTTCTGATTGGTACATACGAGGGGTTTCTCTTGGTAATCTGCTAAACCACTAAGTTATTCATTCTTGGAATAAGTATTTTCTGAGCACTTGCTCTAAGGTCTGAAAGACACAGATTGCTATCACGTACATTACATAGGGACCACTTTCAACATGTATACATTTGAAATTGCTTTCGGGAAGGGCAATTTAGAAGTAGGTAATCTGGCAAAGATAAAGGCAAATATGTATTGCTGGAAAGAATATTTAGCTATTTAATGCATCAGTTTTATTTTTCCCTGTGTAGAATAATAATATATGTTTAATTAAAGCATGTGCCTTCATTAGCAGTACCGGCAGAATAAATCCTGACTGAGTCCAGAAAAAAAAAGGGCCAGAGTATAAAATTCAAATGTTCATGTAGAAATTTACAAATCTGTATATGGTTACTAATGAATTTATAAGTAATCTATACAATAAAAGACTAAACAGGTGGATGCATAAATTGATGGATGCATATGAAAGATGCCTTATTTGCTACAAACTGATAAATACGTGTGGGATATTAGAAAGAGCAGATTAGGGAGAGGAAGACAAGGTTCAAGTTCTGGTTCCCCCACCCCAAGTCACCAAGTTTGTAAAATGGCACTTCCATTGCATGAATCTAGGTAGAAAACTCTATAGGAAAGCAGTTGCAAAGCAGGGAAGTCTATAATATATTTCAGTAAAATCACACTGCAACACCTCCCTAGTTGCTTTTGCACAAAGGACAATTGTTTATAATTGACCTTTGCCATTTTCTCCCTAAGTAGGCTCCTTGTTTAGTTTAGAACAGTGAATATCCTCGAACTGAATTCTAATTTTGCTTTTACTTTTTGGTAGCAGTGCAAACTAAAGACAACTTTTGAAACCTCTGAATCTAAAGCTGAACAATTTTCTGGCGCTCTCGTTTAAAATAAATAATAAAATGAGGCTGTCTTTAAATTCTGCCTTGAAAACTCCCTCGCCCAATGGAGTTTCCATTTCGGTTCTCACATACAGCCCTCATTTACTGCGTGCCAGGGCACCAGGGGCCCTAAGATCCTGTCCCTGAGGAGCTCAGACAAAACCTGTTCTAACTTTACATTGTGCCTCTTTTTGAAGAGCTTAATTGTGCCTTTGTCTGGAGGAACACTTAACAGTTTAAGAGTCACAGTTCAGACTGAAGGAGTTTTTAAGTATCCATTTGGCTGACAGTTGAAACACATTTCATGACCGAGAACTCTGCCTCAGGGGCCAGTCCACTGCTTTCCGGAGCAGGCTGATGGCTTTGAAATATCTCCCTCATAATGGGTGAGAAACTTCTTCGCCATAACCGCCATTTACTGGTCTCAGTTGCCCTCACAGACAAGTTTAATCCCTCGTCTAACAGTGCTGGAAGAAGGCTATGGTGGCCTCCCCTCCCCCACGATTCTCATCTTCAGGTTGTATGACCTCAGTTATGTCTCTCACACCACGATCTCTAAACTCTCCTCCTTTACCCAGGCTGTCGCCCACTCTGGACGTGCCCTGCCTCGTCAACATTCCTCAAAGTGTGTGGCCCAAAAGTAAATCTCCAAGGACGGCAGATTAGACCCTATATCTTTTCAATAATGTTTCTTTATAATTACCTTTCATTCCCATCGAACTTATGCAGGTGCCTTTTTGTCGCTCATTCAAGTGGAGCAGGCATGGTTAACCACCCTATTAAATTGCACCTCTCAACTAATTTGGACAGTCTCAGTATCTTCTCACCAGGGAGTGGGCAGGCACACAAACCCATGCAGACACTGAGCCCACTGGGCTGGAAAGAGGACTGCAAAGGAGCAGATTACATCTATGGACAATGACTGTGTACTGACCTATTGTTATGATCTCACGCTTTTAAGTTTTGTAAAATTTAACATTAATAAGTTCGCAGCAGACTACATACATTTCTGCTTTACTGTCAACTTGTACATATCTACCTGCTTCTACTGGGTTAAGTTGTGGAGTAGAGATAACTTTTTCCCCTTGGTAAGGGTAACTTTAAGATCAAACCTGGCCCATAAGCAACACAGGTGATCAGACAGTGAACCAGTGCCTCTTGCATCATAAGGCAAAAACTGCTTGGGATCTAGAGGTAAACACTGCATTGTAGGGGTTCAGAACGAGTCACCCTGAGGTGTGCCTCTGTGGTATGTGGATTAATTTTGAGCTAAAGGCAACCAAGACTCTTTGGGCTCAAGAGGAACTTCTGCCCCCTCCTTGACTAACTAGAAGAACTTAAATTAGGGGCCTTGCCCATAATAAGAGGTTATTGGAGATGGCTTTTCGTGGTCGATCTACAGGACAGGACAAACTTGTAATTACTGAACATCTGTTCATTTTATCATCCTGCAAATGAACTTCCTCCCCACTGAAGCCCCAAGGTGCCTTACCTCATCCTTAGCTCAGAATGTCATAAGAGCCTCATTTTCCCTTTATGTCTCTGAACCTCTTATGCATGTGGGGTCTCTGACTCTCTTGTGTATGTGGTGTTCCCAAACGTATGCATGTAATTAAATTTGGTTATTTTCTCTGCCTCATGTAGCTCAAATCGGTGAAAGAGCCTTGAAGAGTAGAGGAAAGTTTCTTTTTCCCCACAGCAGCAGTCCCAAACTTTTTTGGCACCAGGGACTGAAGCTCCTATGAGAATCTAATGCCTGATTATCTGATTATCTGAGGTGGAGATGCTAGTGCTGGGGAGTGGCTGCAAATACAGATGAAGCTTTGCTCGCTCGCCCGCTAATCACCTCTTGTTGTGAGGCCTGGTTCTTAAGAGGCCGCGGCCTGAGGGTTAGGGACCCCTCTCCACAGTATTGTCATTATGTTGTAAAATATTATCCCATGTTAAAAAGGATGTTATACAGTATGGTGAATAGTCACTGGGTAACATCACGAACAATGGGGAAAACCCTCAATACCACATCAGTTTAAATAATTACCACCACATTAAAAAAAACTGCACATGGGGGCACTGGAACCATGTTTCTAATATTAACATTCACGACACATTAATGTTTCAACTTACATTTTTGGTATACATTTAAAGTATATCACAGTTGGAAGAACACAATGATTTTTTGTTATTGTTAGCTCATTATATTTTATTGCTACACAAACACTAAAGTTGCAGTGAATTCTTATTTTTGAAGTCAAACCAGGCCATTTAAAATCTACTAATTAGAATAAGAAATAATTAGTTGGGCTTGTAGTGTGGAATAATAATACTTATAAAACCTTTTGCAGAAACTCATGAATATGAGCTAAAGTTGTTTTTCTAACTATCACTGACGTAATTAAAATAAGATATGTGCATTTTAGATATGCTATGAAGGGAATCCTGGGGGAGATACTGAGGACGGGAGCATGTTTTATAGTGGTTTTATTACCCACTTTCTGCTAACATAAACATTCAGCAATAACAACAAAGAAATGATACTTAATAGCTATACAAACCAACAAAACACTACTGGATAAAAAACACCCACTATGAAGGTATTTTTAGTAAGCATGATTATTCTGTAACATAGTAAAATCTCAAGAAAGTAAACAAATTGTGTGTGTATTTGGTAAATATATATTTGGGAAATACTTAGAATGGAAATATCAGTTTTTATAAACTCCTTACATTTGATCTTCAGATGGTTTCAAGTACTTTGCTAAGTTCTCCAGGAGAGACACCCCAGCAGGAAGTCACTGATGGTTCCTTTACTTTTCCTCTGGGCAAAGATGGCTTGTGTGTGCCATGTAATGTTTTGCTGCTAATTACTTTCCAGCTTCAGACATACCAATTAATTTTTTTCCCTTTTAGTCGCCTCTAAAATCATGTACATTTAGCCTTTTACTTTGTAAGTCTTGTCAGAAGCAAATAGTTACTTTGGGATGTTTAATGTTTTCAAAAAAGATAAAAAACAAAACCAACCTAGAGGCTGAAATCACAGACGACTTTTAAAGTGTAAAAAAAATTAATTTTAAGCATTGGCTGTGATGATCATTTCCCCTATTTTAACAGCAAAATGAACTCCAACCAGTGAAAGCAAAATACTACTGAGTTCGCTTTGGAGGAAATATGAAGAAGTGACAAAATCTGTGCTATGAAACTAGATAGTATATATCATGAAGAAGAGGATGTAATATGATTTCTCTGCCACTGAGTCCATAGAGACTAGAGAATGATATGCATCCTAAGAAGTGGTTTGAACCAGTCATTAAAACATTTTTCTGAAATATCAACCTATTTTCTCTTTTGCTCTTTTGTAAATCGATTAAGGCTGGCTGAATGGAAATGACTTTACATCTCTGAATTACAGATGAAACACAGCAGTACCAACTGGGACCACATATGATGGGGAAACCGCATACCTACCCTTCAGGCATGGATTTCTGCCTGTAAGTGCCCCCACCAGAGCCAGTCTCGCTGGATGAAGACAGGTTGCTGGGGGAGTTACGACACTGCTGAGATCTTGCTAGAGCCATGGAGGAGACCGTCACGTAGATGTCCGAACCAGGAGACAGCCTGTAGGTACAAACCAAAAATATGAAGTCAACGATTCAAAGGGAAAATCCCAAGGCATCTATGATGGATGATATCACACAAATGTGACAAAGACAGCGACTTCATGGAAATGGTGAAAATGAAGCCAGCTGGAAGCATGCAAAAGAAACGTCCCCTAAAACTACTCCCTAACGAAACAGCTGGAAAAGTGCCTTGAAGGGGGTGGGGTGGGCGTCAAAAATTAACGGGGCGGGCAGGGAGGGGGAACATACATGTTTCCAAAAGCTGCCAGAATTCAATGGACTCAACTGCTTATGCAGTTTCTTAGTGTGGCAGTGTAAAGGGTTACTGAAACCCAGTGACATTAACACAGCAATTAATTCCAATTTCTCACACTGATTCTCCCAGAGTTTATGACCATAGTGAGACTGGTATGTTCTTTGTATGCTTCTTTGTTTTCTAATTTTATTACTCAGAGTCTGGAATGAATTGTCAGATTTTGTTATTTAGTATTTATGAATTTGGTTGATAGTAGCATCACCACATAAAAATCTTCATGAAAAAAAAAAAAAGTCTAGAACTGCAGTTGTTGAATTTATTTGGAATTAGTGAATTTATATAATATCACAGTAGAGGTGTGCTCCGCACAGCCATCTAATAGATCTGTTTCTAAAGTTACGGATCCTTCGCCCTGATGACTGGCTCTTGAGACAGAGACCAAAGGTTTGCAGTCAGGACAGACATATATTCCGCCCTGCCACCTCCCCCCCACCACCACCTCCTCTGCTTTAGTAGGCAACGAGGTAACCACTGGAATATCAATCTGATGCTGACCACTGTGATGAGCTGTAAACTAAACTTTAATAACAATGGCCTTTTGTTTCAGAAGTGAATGCTGGCACACATCATTTGCCTGCTGTAACAGGGCAGGTCACTCCCTTTTATAGTTGAGGAAGTGCAATCGAAGTCATTCATTTAATAAGTCAGGCGTCTTCATTCTAAGTCCACTGCAGTCTATGTTAAACTATTACCGTCCCCTAGAGAAGGCTGCATTTTCTTTCCTTAACAGGATAGTTTGCAATGAGTCTGCATGGTCAGATGATTTTGCAGGTACCGGTCTCATACTCAAGCCAAAGCTCCGAAGCCTGGAGACAGAACCTGATTCGCTATAATATGGCAGGCTCCTACAGTGGACCTATGATCATTCTGTAGTGGGGCAGGATGGGGTTTCAGGTACAGGACGCTGACAGAAGGGAAAACAGAATCACAATGAGAAGCTTTTCTAATAGAGAAAGAATAAGGACAAATACTTAAAAGTATGACTCTCAAATCCATCTATGCCCAAAGGACAGAGCTGACTTGGGAGCCAGAGCTCTGTCCTCAGCAATAAACTTGTTGTCCCCAGCTGTCTCCTAGATCTCTCTATGGAATACCCTCGTCAGCAACTCGAATCACATCTGCTAAAAACTAAATGATTTTTTTCCATTTTCCCACTCCCATACCCCAAACCTGTCCCTCCTATATTTGCTATTCTAAGTTAAATATTTTGAAGCCATTCCCCCTGTCACCCACCCTTTCCTCATCTTCTATAGTCAACTTGTCTAATTAAGTTCAACTATTTACTGAGCACAGACTAAGCGTTAGGCATCCTGGGTGCTAGTCTTGAAAAGACAAACAAGATAACTGGTCTCCAACCTGATGACTGTCCTTTAAGCTCCCCCATCACCAGCCTGGGTCAGTACAACAGTGTTCTAACTGGTCTTCGGACTTCCAGGCTCTCTCCACCCCATACCTTCAATTCCCTCTACCACCCTGAATCATCTGACTGCTAACAGCCTCTCCACGGCTTCCCTTTGCCTATAGGATAGAAGATCAAATCCCTGCCTCCCTCTTCTAGGCCTTGGACCATCTCATCCAAGACTATCCTCATCTCCATGCTCTTTAGCTGCCTCCATGTACCCTACAACCTGGTCGTATTCCGTGTCTTCCAGTTCTCAGACTTGCCCATCATATTCATACCTCTTCTCATCTTGTCTCCCCCTTTTCACTCACATAAAATTCGTTTTCTCCAACACCTAATTCCAACATCATACCTCTGAATTCACAGATGAATTAGAACCTCTTCAAGTCCCACAGCGGTCTGTCCTTTGCACCATTATAGCACATCTCACAGAATGGTTAGTTTTATATGTGTCTCTCTCCCCAACTAGATTCTGTCCTTCAGGGGCAGGACTGAGCCTTATGTATCTTTACATGTCTGGCTGCTTGAAAGAGAATCCCCAACAGCAGTATAGAAAATGAAGAACACTAGGTGCAGGATAAGGGCCCGCAGTTACATCAGGTGTCCCAACCCAGAAGTTTTCAACCATGGAGGGTTGTGTCAGTTGAAAAACAGTTGGTTACTAATTTTAAAATAAAGCACCAAATTTGTGAATAATTTACTAAAGACAATCATGACACATTCAAAGGTAATACACTTTCTTAAATACAAGAAAAGGGGATGATGGAATTATACGCAGACACCCTTGTGCGTATCATCAATCTGACACATAATGGTGTGAGAAGTCAATGGCAATGCCGACTCTACATAGTGTGAGGAGGGGCAAATAAGGAGACCTAGGATGCTAGGACCCTGGACAACGTGATGAGACAGAGTTCCTAAGGTCCCCTTGTTAACATCACCATCCGGTTACTACTTCACAGATTCAGAGAAACTCGGGCTAACCATGCAGCTGGCATCCTCATCAGGATGCCAGACTCGAAAAGGGGCATGGGAGGGGCACTGTAGTGGGGTCACAGACTAGAGGGGTCATTGAACAATGGCTATTCCCTACTTTGGGTAATGTGCTTTGATAAGAGAAAGATCAAGACATTTATCTGGGCACCATAAAATGGATGTCTCTTTATTCTTTTCCATTAAAACATCTCCCAAATATCACGCTATTTATTCTGGAACCATTGGAAGGGGACTGGGGTGGGAGAGGAATGGGAGGAATAGGATACAAGGAAAAAAACTAGGTAAGGATAAAGGAAAGACACAAACCCAAATGTAAGAAGAGTTTGGCTTCTACATGCACCTAATACAGAGAAATGTAAATATGGTTTCGTTTTGTAGCTGCTTTGATTTTCTTACTGCAAAGAGGAGGAGGTATTACAGAAATATGGGGCCGGGGGAGACGGCAGAAGAAGGTTACTACGGTTGGGGCCTGATAATTTTTTAACTCTCTTCAGAGTAATGCCAATGAATTACATTGATGGTGAATGTTAAAATGTTTATGCTTCTATGAGGAACTGATAACATGATTCCATAAGGAAAGCCAAGACGTAACTCTTATATTTTATTTAGAGCTTGCTTTTCTTACCCTGCTCTTCAAAACGTTAAATTAAAATATCTCATATTCCTTCTCAACCTCAGCTCTTTTATTTGGCAAGTATATCAGAAAATTCTACTTGGTTACTGGAATTATCCCAAAGTGAAAAAATAGCATTTCCAGAAGGCCGGCATTCATTCCCACTCCTTTTCTGCATTTATATAACTCAATAGTGGCTTTGTTTTCTGACTGTTCACACACAGAGAACATACATACAGCAACTGATGTAATGGCACCCAAATGTTTTCACTATGCTAGATGTATGTGTGGTGGGCAAAAAAAAAACAAAAAACAAACAAAAAAAAAACCTGCACACACATCAGAATTAATCTTTATTCTGATGACTTACTATTCTTTCCAAATACTCTAAATTTGACACCATCGCACAAATATTACTTGAGAACAGACCTACTTCAGGGAGTGGGAGGTACTGCCTGCCGGCACTGGCAGTCCACTTCTGCCGGAGAGAGGCCTGCAGCTGATCATTACTGGAAGTTGGGCTGGTTGCTGTCCGGCCACTTTGAAAAAGGGTACTCCTCCAAATTGGCTCACATTGGAAGAGAGCATGCTGACCTCTGGAATCTCTGTTCTCCCACCCCCTCTATTTTAAGGGTTGCTGAGGCCAGTGAAGAGTTAGTGGAAGATCACAAGTCTTTTCTTCTCTTTTGAGGGAAACCCAGATCTTTCTGCACTCTCCTGGTCTTAATGAGCCCAGGAAATTCTAGATGTTAGCGCCCAAATAGGTCAAGAGGACTAAGATTAATACCGCTTACAGTTGCTAGGAGATCTTTTAATTCTGCGGAATATAAGAAATAATCTTTTTTAAGAGTGCCCTGGTCATTGCCAGAGATGGAATTTCTAAACCTGTTAGCATTAATTTCAGTAGATTCTCTTCCCTACATTTTTATAAATTTAGCCAAGAAATAACTAAATGTTTTTAAAGTAACTGGTATTAACATTCTCTTAAATGCTTCCAGAAATAAAATACCAGGGCTTTTTGATTGTACAAAGAACGCAGTCATTGAAACAGCCACGATCACCAGCCAGACAGACAATACTTCCATAGTCTGCAAGATACACATCAGCTTTTCATTTCAATGCAGTGCATTTTGTTGCAATGAAAGTAAAGAGCTGAAGGGGATGGACATTCAAGAAGAGATGGGCCAAGATCAGTATCAGTTCCTCATTCTCCCACCAGGATAAAAGAGAGAACAGCTAAAAAAAAAAAAATCCTATATTTCTAATAAGATAACCCCTGCCCGCCACTACACCCTTCCCATGAATCAATTCACAGGACTATTATACAGTGTTAACATTTACAGACTCTTATTAAATTGATCTCTTTGGACTGTGACTGATTATAATTTATCGATTTATGGATAAGGAATTGTCAGCACTGGAGTAAGATGCTAAATTTTTTCCCTAGTATTTATGTAGTATTGGTTTAATTATCCCTCCAGCTTTTTACTCCAAAGTGACAGCACTGCTTAGATGTGTCCAAGGAGATAAGGCCCTCTGTAACTCGAGTGCCAACAGTGGATGGTGGTAAAAACAATTGAGAGGGTTTCAAATAGCAGCAGTGACGGACAAATTAGATGCTTGAGTCCATAATCAAGCACAGCATTCTACCACAACTTAGCAATTAAAATG